CTGAAGGTATGAAGCTACCTGGCAAGTTCTTGCTGCAAGGTGACTTCAAAGACTTCATAAGACCCGAGATTTAAAGTTTGGCACCTTCCATGATCCTTCAAATACTTCTCACATTGCCATTTCACTTGAAATATTGCAGTTAAAATAGCAATTTCATTATACAGTTGACATGATACCACACTGCACCCTCTGTGTGCTGCTTGTAGGTAGGTGCAGTCTGTTTGCTCCACTGCGGGGGGCGCACAAACATGTGCTAACACAGCTTTGAGAAAAGGTTAAGGCAAACATGGTCTCTCTGTAGTTTGCTGGGTCATGGAGCAGCATGCCGGTTGGCTACGCTGCATCCATGTGACCCCTGGTGGCCATCTTGGGTCAGCAGGGTCTATATAAGTCCTTGCACCAGGCTTTGGTGAAGTGGGTAAAGTAAGGTGACAGACTCCATATGGCAGGGAAAGTGATTAATGGCAGGGAAAGTGATTAGTGGCAGGGAAAAGGGAACTGCTATTCCCCAGGAAGCCTACCTCTTTGGGACTGGACCAGCCAAGCCATATTTCACCTTCTGAAACAGACGCTGTCAGTTCGTTTCTGCCTAAGAACTGAACTGTGAGTGCTCTCCCTAGTCGGCGTTCTCCCACTGGGGTGTTTGTATCTGGCATTCTCTAAATACAAATTTCAAGTTTTATTGCAACCTGACTCTGTGTCTTTACTGCCTTGGCGCCATGCTGCACCCCCAACATGCTTGCTTTAAATCTACACATCAGCTGGGAACAAGTGCAGCTCAGTGACTTAGTGGTTGCTACTGCAGCACGGGATCCTTGGCTCAGTGCTCCCCAGACTACATGGAAATTTCAAGCTTTCTTTATGTTTTTGAGGGTATTCTTCTGTTTTCTACCACAATTCAAATTAGTAGGGATGATTTTAATGATGTTATTTAAAAAATACTTGCTAACATTACCTAAAAGTGTCTTTGAGAGTACTTCTTTTGCAGTAACAGGGTTGTTATATATTAAGCTCCTCAGGGGCAGTGACTGCTGTGTATGGTTTCATAGATATGCTGAAAATACTAATCTATATAACGACAGAGAAAAAACATGTTACTAGTGGGCGGGGCTATATACTGTATTTTTTATACTGTTTGCAGTGCTATACAGTGTATATCTTAGTAATACCAATAGTACTTCTAATTATGAATGGTAGTAGTAGTAGTAATAATAATAAGTATTATGATTATTATTATTAATATTACAGTAATCTTACTTCTGGTTACAATCTGGAATAGAGTAAAAAAAACACTTCTACTCTTTGAAATATGCTTTAAATATGCACCTAAATTCATCTAACACAAATTGATGCAATCCTCTATAAAACAATTTACAGAGCATGATAAATTTTTTCACCTCACTCAACCGAGAGAGTTTCCAACCCAAAATTTAATAGAGCAGTCACGGAACATTGGTCCTAGCCCCAGGCTCCCTCCATCTCTCAGACTCTATAGAGAGTTGCAGCAATCCGGCTCTGATTTCTAGCCATCTACCTATGAAAGCCGGAGACCAGATACAGCCAGGGATCAGAATAACACAAATCACCCCCGTAATGTGAAAGCTCTAATGTCTTAACAGAACTTAAAGAGAGCTTTAATATATCATCTCCATTGTCCTCTCAGTTATGTAGGGCAATTGAAATGTTGAAAAGTATATCATAATTCTGGTGTGTATTATTTTGGTTCTCCATGATGTTGGCTCATTTTGGCAAAAACGTAATGTTTGGTAAAAGAGATCTTGGTCTGCTGGCTGTCAACTCATCAGTTTTCTTTTTCAGGGCAATGGTGGACGGCACTGATTGATTACAGCACAGACATTTGTCTAGCAGGACTTAAAACATAACTACGTCTAAATTTTGATAATACAAGCAGGCTGTCAGGACCCAGGTCTGAACTTGCAACCTCTGCTGTGCCTGGTGATCTCTCTTCTTGCTGACCCACCAAAGATCCTGGACAGCACCCTCTTTGATCCACTGGACAATCCTACATTGTCTCTTGTTTCTGAATCATGAATTCCTTGCTCCTCCTATGAACCTCCTATTTAAACAATACCTTTGCACTTCCTGTTTGCCAGATTATTGTGCTTTCTCTAGTCAAATATGTCGCTCTTGTCACTCCTTCTGCCATCCATATCTCCACTACCACTTGTTACCGATCCTATTCTTTGACTATATTTTTGCTTAATCCCAACCTGTGACCATGTGTCACCAACCTTTAGTGTGTTTACTGGCTACGCTTCTGCTTGATCCCTACCTACTATATTTGTTATTGGACCCTGGCTTGCTCACCTCCTGGTGGGGTGATCCTGATGACCGCGACCTGATACTAACACACAGCAAAACCCATCTCCACCATTAGGAGCTCTGGTGCTCACTGGTTGGTACTTAGACTCCGCACATTGGGTGAGCTTGCGTCATCCACCAGGGTGACCTGCTGCTGCATTTATCCAGCTAGTTGGTGGGAGCTTCTCTACTGCTGTAGCTACTGGCCTCCAAGCCTTACCCCTGACCCTGTGACACAGTCTCTTTATTGCAGAAGAGACATGCAAGGGTTCACATATTCCTTAATATCCAATTTGCTTGTAAAGATTGCACCAAAAATATAACAATTTACATATTAAAAGCTTTCACACTGCTAACTGAATTACGACTTGTCTATACTTGGTGACTTCAGCTTAAAGTGTTACTAAACCCACAACAGTACAATCAGTCTGTATATGCAGTAAAGCATGCTTGTTATACTCACTGTGGAACCTAAGGGGTTAATCCTCTGCATTTTGTAAAGCTGCTGCTTGATCCTGACTTCTCTGATCCTCCCCTTCTTCCACTGCCCCCCTTTTATCTCCTGATAAGACATATTGTGTGGACTCACTCAGGACATGTTCATGTGGTGTGTATTGCAAGAGAGTTTTTTTTTTCTTCGGAGAGTGCCTGTGACCAGTACAGGGCCAATCAGCACTGTCCAGACAGATGTCAGGGGTCCTGCATCCTCCTAGAGCAAAATGAAAACTCCTCCTACAAGCTATAACCAGTGCTGTGCTGGACAGATAGAAGTCACAAGACTGCTCTAACTGCTGATGAGAAAAGGTATTTAGCAGTTTATATTTAATAAAATAATTGAATGTCCCTGTTCTGTGTACTGTGGGAGACCAGATATAGTTAATGCAGGGTCCTGGGTTTAGTAACACTTTAAATTTCTTTTGAAAAATTACTTTGTTTTGTAACTTTTTTTTAGGATTTGAGTTTATATAATTATTTGTACAAAAGCATTATTTTACTAATGATTTTTAATTACAAGTGCTTTCATACAGTTCTAATTGCAAAGCATGCTAGGCTTTCTGTTAAGAAAGCCTAGCACTACCTGAATGGTTGTGAGCAACCTGTAAGTGATTAAATAATTCTTATGGCTCCATCTCTGCTAGAAGAAAAGAAAGAAGAAGTGCATCCTTCCTTTAACTTGTTCCTGCCCAGCCCAAATGATGGCCAAGCAGGAGCTCTCCCATCCTGGGTGGATATCATATGATCTCAGGATTATGCCTCACACCCGTCCATAATTGCTGCACTGTAGTTTTACCTGTCACTTATATAACAGAAAATTATGCATGGCCGCAACTGGTATCATGTGACCAGTCACAGCAGATCACATAATGACAGTTGTACACAATGAATGGCTTTCGTTCATAGTCATTCATTGTGTACTATTGTGTTGATCTCTGTGATTGGTCACAGTGATCACATGGACCAGTCACAGTGCATCTTTACCATGTGATAGATGTGGCCAATCACAGCTTCATAATAGTACACACTGGATGAATGGATGCCATTCATAAAAAAAGATTGTTTATAACAGTGATCATCATTGCTATAAGAAATTATAGTGTTAAAAAAAAAATCCTGATCACTTCCCCAGAGTAGTACACTGTCACTATGGTAACACTGTACTGCTGTGGTAAAAGTACGCAAAACAAAAGGTAAAAAAAAAAAATATTTAAAAAATTGGAAAAGAAAAATTACAAGTGTATTATTTATTTATTTATATTTTTTTACATACTGTCACCAGTCAGTGTCTCTGATCTCCTGAGATATTGATCTGGTCAGTTAAGTAGCAGAGGGGGTTGTTAATCAGTTTCAGCTGCTTTGGTGTTAATTAAATTAACAACAGGTGCACTAGATGGGCAACAATGAGACGACTCCCAAAACAGGAATGTATTTACAGGTAAAGGCCACTGACATTGTTTTCCCTGCTCATCTTTTCTGACAGTTTTTACTAGTTTTGCTTTTGGCTAGGGTCAGTGTAACTACTGGTTGCATGAGGAGATACTTGGATCCTACAGAGGTTGCACAGTCAATTCAGCCCCTCCAGGATGGCACATCAATACGTACCATTGCCAGAAGGTTTGCTGTGTCTCCCAGCACAGTCTCAAGAGCATGGAGGAGATTCCAGAAGACAGGCAGATATTCTAGGAGAGCTGGACAGGGCCAAAGAAGGTCCTTAACCCATCAGCAGGACTGGTATCTGCTCCTTTGTGCAAGGAGGAAAAGGATGAGCACTGCCAGAGCCCTACATAATGACTTCCAGCAGGCCATTGGTGTGAATGTCTCTAAACAAACAATCAGAAACAGACTTCATGAGGGTGGCCTGAGTGCCGGATGTCTTCTAGTGTGGGCCCTGTGCTCACTGCCCAGTACCATAGAGGTTGAATGACATTTGTCATTGAACAATAGAATTGGCAGGTCCGCCACTGGCGCCCTGTGCTTTACACAGATGAGAGCAGGTTCACCCTGAGCACATGTGACAGATGTGAAAGGGTCTGAAGAAGCCGTGGAGAATGTTATGCTGCCTGTAACATTGTTCAGCATGACCATTTTGTTGGTGGGTCAGGGATGGTCTGGGGAGGTATTTCCATGGAGGGACGCACAGACCTCTACAGGCTAGACAATGGCACCCTGACTGCCATTAGGTATTGGGATGAAATCCTTGGACCCATTGTCAGACCCTACGCTGGTGCAGTGGGTCCTGGGTTCCTCCTGGTGCATGACAATGCCCAGCCTCATGTGATGAGAGTATATAAGCTACTGAGTACCATTTTGAGTTGCTGCAATGAAATTTCAACAGAATGGACTACCTTGCTGCATAAAAATCACTTTGATTTTTGGGGTGTCTTTGAATTCAGTCATCTTTAGGTTAATCATTTTCATTTCCATCAAACGATGGGGCATCCTTACGTTCCTAACACATTACCCAGTCCATACTAGTATAGATATCCAGCATAATATGTTTCCCCATTGAGATCTGATATGTTTTCAAAGTGTTCTTTTTTTGTGAGCAGTATATACTGTATGCAGTGCTCAGCATAAATGAGTACACCATAAATGAGTGCACCCCTTTAAAAAGTAGGATTTTAATCAATATTTCAATGAACACAAGAACAATTTTCAAAATTTTGACAAAACTGAGTTTTATAGAACATTTGTTTAGCACATTACAGGAAGGTAAGGCTAATAATATAACTTAGATTACAAAAATTTCAGTTTTACTCAAATTAGTTGATGCAAAAATGAATACACCCCACAACAAAAACTACTACATCTAGTATTTTGCATGACCTCCATGATTTGTAAGGACAGCACCAAGTCTTCTAGGAATGGAATGAGCAAGTTGGCGAGATATTGCAACATTGATCTTTTTCCATTCTTCAAGAACGACCTCTTTTAAAGCCTGGATGCTGGATGGTGAATGATGCTCAACTGGTCTCTTCAGAATTCCCCATAGGTGTTCAATTGGGTTCAGATCAGGAGACATACGTGGCCACTGAATCACTTTCTCCCTGTTCTTCTTCAGAAATGCAACAGTGGCCTTAGATGTGTGTTTTGGATCATTGTCATGTTGGAAAAGTGCATGATGACCAAGGGCACAGAGTGATGGTAGCATCTTCTCCTTCAATATAGAGCAGTACATCTGTGAATTCATGATACCATCAATGAAATGCAGATCCCTGACACCAGTAGCACTCATGCAGCCCCACAGAAGAACACTGCCACCACCATGTTTTACTGTAGGCACCATGCATTTTTCTTTGTACTCCTCACCTTTGTGACACGCATACAGTTTTGAAGCCATCAGTTTAAAAAAAATTGATCATGGTCTCATCCCTCCAGAATACAGAGTCCCAGTAGTCTTCTTGTTTTTCAGCATGGGCCCTGGTAAATTCTAGGCAGGCTTTTTTGTGCATGGGCTTTAGGAGAGGCGTCCTTCATGGAAGACACCCATGCATGCCATTCCTGTGCAGTGTATGCCATATTGTGTCATGGGAAATAATAACCCCAGTTTGGTTTTCTATTTCCGTAGCTAACTGCAGTGAACTTGCATGGCGATTTTCTTCAAAATCAAGTCAACTTCTGTGGATGGTCTGGATGTCTCTGTGAGATGGTTGCAGTTCCATTTTTGTTACATTTTTGTATTACTTTTGCTACAGTATTCTGACTGATAATTAAAGCTTTGCTGATCTTGTAGCTTTCACCTTTCTTGTGTAAATAAATTATTTTCTTTCTCAGGCCTTGTGACAATTCTCTTCCATGTGGTGCCTTTGCTGACAGCATGAAATGGGAAGGGGTTTTCTTTGTTAAGTAACATCCTTTTATAAATAATAATAATAAACTGTTTGCTGGACATTTGTTTAATGACTAATTAGACTCACCTGTAGTTGAATTTGAAATCTAAGATTTTTTTGTCTAAAATTTAGCTTTGCTCCTAAGACTTTCATTGGGGTGTATTTATTTTTGCGACATGGTCTTGAATGAATTTGTTAGGAAAAATATTTTTCTATGTGTGCAAATGAACAAATCTTGTTTGCAATCAATGGCCTGCATTTTTGTATTTTGTAGTATAGTGTCCCGTAGAAAATGTTGCCTTTTAAAAGGTATTCTGACAAATCTGTTGTACTCATCTATGCTGAGCACTGTATATATACTGTATATACTCTGTGTATATATATATATATATATATATATATATATATATATATATATATACATTCCCCTTTAAATGGCAGTAGAACATCTATTACATCAAGTTAAGTGTGAAAAATGTGGTGGATTCTATTAATAAGGTTTGCTACAGAGGTCTGTACTGACTTCATAAACCCTTCGATATGTACTTTCACAGCCAGATATAATAGGATCCCATTTTCACCAGATGGAATTACCTAGCAGACACAAGTCACAGATAAACACTTTATATATATCATACTTACATGATTTTTTTCCACTTATAAAATCTTGCCTGACCGAGAGTGTCACAGAGAATTCTAGGAATATAAATATAATACAGAATTTAAGGGGCATTTAGAGAAAAAAAATTATCTTTGTTATATTGGTGGCTGGCAGGTTTCCTAAGGACAGATGAGCTGAACCCTCCTCCTGTGTACATTATGCCTACCTAATGCTGGTGCAATTCCCCCCTGCCATGTGTCTGGAGGTGGCAACATGCCACAATATCTCAAGGGTGCAGCATCAGTAACATGGGAATGTAAAGTGTTATTAATTTTATTTTGTCCAAGATTTAAAAAATAAAATATTATATAAAATATTCCATAATTCATATAAAAAAAATGGTCATGCAGACAGAGCTTTGGATGCCTCTTTACATGTTTACAGATTACTTTTAACTGCTTTGGGGAAAAACCTGTTGGTACTAGTGGATGTTACCTATTCATCCATCTTGGCCACCATATTCTAAACTGTTACAATCTAAAATGAAAGGGGACTTAAAGGAGAAGTAGGGTCAGTAGTAGTATCCCGCAGGATAACGGCTAGGAGTGTCTGGCAGCAAGCAAAACACTAGAGCAAGAAGTACTTAGTAGAGGAGGACCTAAATATCTTCCCAGCAGCCAGCATCAGATGGAAACCGATTACTGCAATCTGCTGGCTGTTAGGAAACAATTGCTGGTGGACAATGGAATTACAACCATCCACCCAGGGAACCACAGTACCACCAGCAGGTGATCCAGGTCCTGAAACTAGCTCATTGAAGACCAAGAAAATGAGCAATCTGCGACCTTTAATCGCTCAGTTCTCATAGAGGCGCAAGGGACAGATGCAGCATTGGACCTATCCTGCACTCCTCTTTTAAACTAGATGTAAAACCTAACTAGATAGCAATTTGTTTGCAAAATGTTGTGTATCATAAACAATTGCCATGTACTCTTTTAAACTTTTTTTTTCCTTTTTGGTATCTCTGATTATGGCTTCTTTCAGATCCTATGCAGCCATTTCCTATCTACATGCACTACCAGCAATGCTTGCCCATCATTTCTCAGGATAGATCTTCCGATAGTGGTAAAGGCAGAACACGCTAGTGCATTGTCACTTTACAGTCTCCACTAATAGCACATGAGACAGAGTGACATTACAAGAGCACAACTGAAGGACAGTACAGAGTGTTGTCCTCCTATAACAGGTAGTACTTGAACAGGGGACCTTCTTGGAAGGATCACCGTGTATTATTTAAAAGAAATCTTTGGATTTAAGGAGAGTGGTAATAAATTAGCAGGTAAAGATTATAATATTTGAGTTTACATCTACTTTTTTGTTTTATTATTAATTTATATAGCTCTACTCGCCCAAGAGATTTGATGCACTTTATCTGCTATTGGGCCAGACAGTGGGGCAGCCATCTTGGGTGTGCTCAGTAGAAACTAATACCAGGGCCAATGTTTAGACAGGAGCCAATCAACCTTCCAGGATGTCTTTGCAGTGTCAGTGGAAACCAGAGTAGGTGGAGGAAAGCCATGTGCGCTCAGTAGAAAATTGGGGACAGCCCTTAGGAGCCAATTAGCCTACAAATAAGTGGGGAAGGAAAAAAAGGCACATGGAGAACATATGTCAGGACCTGGATCTGAACCCTGGACCTCCGTTGTGTGTAGTAGTAACTCTTCTTGCTGAGCCACCTGAGATGCTGGTCAGTTCAATCTGATCTGTTAGACAATCTTGCATTGTACCTTGTTTTTAATGAACCTTGAATGCTTTGTACCTCCCATGAACTTCTTCATTTAGGCCATGTCTCTGCACGTTCTGTTTGCCTGATTATTGTGCTCTCTGCAGATGATATCTCTCTTTTGTCACTCCTGCTGCTGTCCATTTTTTTCATTACCGACCTTTGGCTTGTTACTTGACTATGCCTCCTCTTGATCCCAACCTGCAACCACTTGTTACTGTCCTTTGGCTTGTTTACTGACTACACTTCTGCTTATCCCTACCTGCTGTATCTGCTACTGGACCCCGGCTTGCTCATCTCCTGGTGGGGTGATCCTGAGGACCGTGACCTGGTACTAACATACAGCAAAACCCATCTCCACCATCAGAAGCTATGGTGAATACTGGATAGTACTTAGACTCTATGCCTCAGATGACCCCGCATCATCCACCAGAGAGACTTACTTCCATACTTATCCAACAGGTCAATGGGAGGCTCTCTACTGCTTTAGCTACTGGTCTCTGAGCCTGACCCCCCAATCGTGACAACATGCAAACTTCATGTAAAAAGTGTTATGGTTGGAAATCCAACTGTCCAAGTACCAGTGTTACAAGGCAGAAGTTCTAACTACTATGCCACTATCCTGCCCCCAGGATATAATGTCACCGAAATAGATAAAAAGATCTAAAATCTACAAACCTTTTTAGATAAAAACTTGTCAAAATCATTCAAGAAAGAAAATTCATAAAAAAAAGACCATTGGCGACTGATTCTTATTGAAGTGATATTAAAGTTTTTTTAAATAACAAACATGTCATGATAATTTTGACACTTCCGCGCTATAATATATAAGTGACACACATAAATTGATACAAATAGGCAGCCACCACAAGGCTGGCAACAACACATAAACATATAAAACACAGAGGTGCTGCGCTTCGGAAGTGCTGCACCTCTGTGTTTTAACAAACATGTCATATTTACCTGATCTGTGCAATGGTTTTACACAGAGCAGCCCTGATCATCTTTTTCTTGGGTCCTCTGTTGGCGCTCCTGGCTCCTCAACCTTGACCAGTTTCCCCAATAGCAATGGGGCACTGGTGCGTGCTCACCCCTGAGCCTGGATCTATGAGTCCCTAAGACACATAGAGCCGTGACTCGGCCCTGCCCCTGCTCTCTCCTCATTGGCTTACTTGCTGTGATTGACAGCAGTGGAAGCCAATGCATCTCATAGCTGTCTCAGCCAATGAGGAGAGAGAGACCCAGGACAGTCGAGGTCAGGGCGGACTGACCATTTGGAAACTCGGGCACTGCCC